TCCATACGGATCATGAGTGTCTCAAGTATTTGAAGTCACAATATAAGTTAAACAAGAGGCATGCTCGTTTGGTGGAGTTCATCGAATCATTCCCCTACTTGACCAAGTACAAGCAAGGCAAGGAGAATGCGGTTTTTGATGCCTTATCGAGAAGATACACTTTTTTAACTACCATGGATGCAAAGTATGTTGGATTTGAGCAAATCAAAGGGGTCTATAAGGAGGATTTTGTTTTTTTAGAGATATATGTTTCATGGTAATTAGCTTTGCATAACACGTACTTCACTTCGAGAGTTGCTATTGAAAGAAGCTCATATAGGAGGATTGATGGACACTTTGGTGTAGCCAAAACATTGAGTTGCTTAGAAGAGCATTTCTACTGCGCATATGAAAAATGACATGGAGAGCTTGTGTGCTAGATGCGTGGAGTGCAAGCAAGACCTTCGGCTGGATTATACACAACACTACCCATTCCATCGGCACCATGGATCGACATATCTATGGATTTTGTGTTGGGTTTGCCAAGGTGTAGAAGAGGCCGAGACTCAATTTTTCTAGTGGTGAATCAATTTTTGAAGATGACACACACACTTCATTCCATGTCATAAAATGACGATTTAGTAAATGTGGTCGATTTGTTCTTCCACAAAGGTTGTAAGGTTGCATGGAATGCCACGTAGCATTGAGTCTGTTAGGGATGCAAAGTTCTTGAGCTACTTTTGGAAGACATCGTGGAGAAAGTGTGGGACGAAACACTTGTTTTTGACGACTTGTCATCCTCAAACAGATGGACCAACTGGAGCGGTGAATCGTACTTTGTCCCAAATGATGTGAGCAGTGATCAAAAGCAACATCAAGGTCTGGAAAGACTGCCTACCACACGTGGAGTTCGCCTATAACAGAGCTGTACATATGAAGAAGGAGAGATTCCACATCTAAGGAGATCCAAGTTGCTGCCAAGTAGTTGTTGCCAAGTGTTGTGTACAATCCAGACGACTGCCTATATGAAAATTGACATGGAGAACTTGTGTGCTAGATGCGTGGAGTACAAGCATGCTAAATAGAAGGTGCAGTCATCTGGATTGTACACAACATTATTCATTCCATCGGTACCATGGATCGACATATCTATGGATTTTGTGTTGGGTTTGCTGAGGTCTAGAAAAGGTCGAGACTCAATTTTTCTAGTGGTGAATCAATTTTTGAAGATGACACAGTTCATTCCATGTCATAAAACTGACGATTCAGTAAATGTGGTCGATTTGTTCTTCATCAAAGGTCATAAGGTTGCATGGAATGCAACGTACCATAGAGTTTGATCGGGATGCAAAGTTCTTGAGCTACTTTTGGTAGACGTTGTGGAGCAAGCGTGGGACAAAACTCTTGTTTTTGACAACTTGTTATCCTCAAACAAATGGACCAACTGAAGTGGTGAATCGTACTCTGTCCCAAATGATGTGAGCAGTGATCAAAAGCAACTTTAAGGTTTGGGAAGACTACCTACCACACGTGGAGTTTGCCTACAACAGAGTTGTGCATACGAGGAAGGAGAGATTCCACATCTAAGGAGATCCAAGTTGCTGCCAAGTAGTGAAGGTCCCTCTCAAGTGATTTCGAATGTTGGGAGTAATGCATACAAGCTTGACCTATCAGAAGAATATGGGATAAGTGCAACCTTTAACCTTTCTCATCTTGCACCATTTTTGGATAATGATATAGATTTGAGGGCAAATCCTTTTCAAGAGGGACAGACTGATGAGGTCATCAAAACCAAGCCTGCTCAAGAAGATGACCCAATGACTCGTGCATTGGCTAAAACTCTAAGGGAGCAAATTGCAAGTTATTTGGGTCCACAACTGAAGGACATAATCGTGGCGCTACATGGAGGAAAGCCTATTACATTAGTATGATTTGTGGATAATAATCTAGAGAAGATGAGCTTAGAAGAAGGTAAGGAGGATTCGGCCTAGCAGGGTTGTCATGGTGGGAATGGAATCCCAAGTATGAACACAAGGGGGCGGATTTAAAGGCATGGTTAAGGGGAGTTTTGACTTAGTCTTTTACTTGTTTGTTTAGGTTTTGTTTTCCTTTTTAGAGTAGGATTTTATTATCCTTTGTAGTATGGTTTTTGGGTTCTTAAGCCTATTTTAAGGGGCCGCACCATGGTAATAGATTCATTCAGTTTTCGGTTATCAATTACATTGAGTGTTTACTCGAGTTCCTTTGTGACCGTTTTCTTAAATTCCTTTGAGGATTGGAGGTTTATCTCTTATCATCAAGACGATCACATCTAGTTGTGGCGAGTTCGACTATATCGATTAGCTCTTCTCACATGTTTGGGATTGTTTGATCGATTTCCATCCTCTTATTTTTCGTGTTATTCAAGAAAGGAGAAAACCCCAAAAGAGTTCAAAGTTGTGCTATTATGTTTTATTGGTCCAAGTTCGAGGTTCTCTTCGAATTATGGTCATATCAAGTGGTATCAGGAGTCTGGTTCAAACGCAGTGGAGAAAACGAAGGTTCTTGGAGTTATTGGCGTATTCATGATCACATAGTCGTGTTTTCTACCTAAAATATGGAAAAGTAGGAGTTTTGAACATTATAATTTGAGTGTCATCAGAAATACCCCCCACTTGAACTTTGCTTGTCACCAAGCAAACACTACTTAGAATCATACAACTTAATGAAAACTAAATATGACAGTCAATCATTGATCTTAGGTAGTGGTTCATAAGCAAACTTACAAGGTCAATAATAGCACAAGGGAATACTCTAATCATATTAACATGCATGAACAACAAAATACTCATCTCAATTTAAACTACCAACCATACACGAGTTTCAAAATATATAGGTTGAAACTTTTGAAAAATGATTAGGAACTTGAAATGCTTTTACCATCTTTTCGACATACCCTTTAATCACTTTTGCCTTTAAAATAACATACTCTTTTTCAATTTTCTTGACTATTGTTTTTCTTTTTCAGGTGTAGGGAGTTTTAATAGAGCATTAGACCATTATTAGTTGAGCAATATAAATTTCTGTATCTCTGTCATCGTCAAAGTACTTCTTTCAAATCCTGTATCTCAATTTGTGTGGAGGTCAATGAATCTAAGCGGTGTCGAAAGCTTTATCTGTGTCCTTGAAAACACATCCTCAAGTTTCATTTCCATTCAATGAGTGGAAATTTTACATGTATTGTACTAGAGAGGATCTAAGATTGATTGAAAAGGGTCACAAACTGAACTAGTATCTCTTTCAAAACCTGGTCTTGTGCATTGAATAGATGTCTCACATGTTGGACTTACCCACACTTTATTTTTGAACAATGCATGAAAAGTTTTTCAGAATATGAAAACACATCCTGAAACGTATGTTATATTTTTTTCACGTTGGAGCTACCTTAAATGAATTTACGGTCACACTATTGATACTGTGACTGTTACCCTCGCACCTTCAATGTTTTGATAAGGCTTAATACCAAGAAAGGGCTCATAGTTTAAGATTTTTGTCACTTGTACCTCTATGTTCTCGATATGTAATTTGTGTTTCCATTTTAGTCTTCGTTAACTTTGACCCTTAGTGGTAAAAAAACCAACTATTGGCCGAAGATGTGTCACATGACATGCACTCTTTTGCCATGTTGCCCAGATTAAGCAAATGTGCAAGAAGCCAAAAAAAAAGGAAAAGCCCTACAAACAGAGAGAAGCAGAGAGCCTTACTGTAAGATGATTACATTTCCTCTCTCCAATGTTGCTTCCACGACGGTTCGCCTCTCCCCGAATTTTGAATCCCTAAGCTACCCAGTTCACTCCATGGCGAGGAAAAAGAAGAGCTCGAATTCCTCATGAGACTTCTATGCCTCGTTGATACTCCATCAATTGAAGACCTGTAGACCGCCGCAAAATTCGCATGGTGGTGCGATGCAATGATTTTTCGCGAGAAGTGGATTAATGGAAGAAGAACGAAGAAGAGCCCAATCTCTTCTCCAGTCATAACATGCCATAAACCAACTGGTCCCAATAACTCGAGTTGTTGGGAGAGACCCATGTATGGTACTTAACCACTTCCTTACACTCCCCCTCAAACGAAAGCCGATTCATGGGCTTGAAGTTTGCATAGGCCCGCCATACCATGTGCTTGAAGACAACATTTAATATTGGGGGCCGTGAGGACATGAACACATGACATCAAGGACAAACTAGCTCTGATACCATGTCATAAACCAACCGGTCCCAATAATTCGAGTTCTTGGGAGAGGCCCATGTATAGTACTTAACCACTTCCTTACATAACGCCAATAGCATAAACAACCCGCTAGTTCCCTCAGGCTGCTCGTGAGAAGGAAGATTCACATGACGTCCTCACGAAGCTGTCGTCTTTTGATTACCCACCGTCGTCATACACCAATCCCTCTATCGAGGAGATATTGACCAAACGCCGACAGTTTCTAAGCCCTTCCATATCTAACTAGATCTGAAGTTTTCAGCGACGAAGAAATCAGTGATAACAACGACAACGACGGAAGAATGAAATCTTTGGCGGGGGTTGGGTAGAAAAACGAGGGTTTTTATTTTATTTTAATTTATTAATTACAAAATAAATAAATTATTTGTAGAAAATGGAAATAAATTTATTCTATTAATTTCAAATTATTAGTGTTGATGACACGGCATTTTCCAGGTGACACGTTGGCTGGACATCGTAGCTAGTCAAATGGACTTTGACCATCGTTTGGTGAACGATTAAATCAAATCAACCGTCAACAAATTATTTGAGTATATTATTGACATCACATCCCAATTCTATAGGATATTTAGACTGGTTATAAATTTTGGGACACAATTGACACAAATTTTAAACTATAGGCTTTTATTGGTATTAGGCCTTTTCATAATAACAACCATTATTTCAAGTTTTTTGCATTCATTTTTTTCGGGCCATGGGTTACTACATTTGGTCTCTGGACCTTTGGTTTGGATAGCAAGAGTAGAAGGCCCAGGTTCAGATTAGAACGGTTGTTGGACTTTGCGTCTGCGGAACCAAACGTGCTGAAGCCGCCGAGAAGAGAAACCCTCTTCTCTCTTACTGATACTGTCAATTCATTAGGAAGGAAGGATGCTATTGCTTGGTTGCTCTGACTCTGAGTAAAGAAAACTGAGCAGCTACCTACAAACAATACGATAAAGAATGATGCGGAACAAAAAGAAAGCCGGCGTCCTCAAACCGACCGATTCCGCCTGCATTCCTCACGATCAGCGGTAATACACTTTAAATCTAAGTTTATAGCTCGCGCAATGACTTTTGGTTTCTCGTGTTGATGGTATCTGGTGGGTCGATTTCTGATTCTGCAGTACCATTGAAGGGGAATCTCTGGCCGTCTTCCTCACATCAATCCGCCGGTATATATGATTGATGTTATGCCTTGTTCTTTTCTCTGTTCGGTTGAGAAACCGTTACTGCGGCTGACAGAATAGTTGTTTGGCAAAACAAAGGGGGATAGAGTCGGCCAAGAAAGAGTTTGAAGGGAACTCGCTTCCTCAGAAATTCTGGTTCAAGGTTGAGATATCTCTCAATGGCTGGCCTTTCTCTGTAAAGTTCCTTTCATGTCGTTGATTTTCTTGACAGTGGGTTGGTTGTCTGTGCGTTGGATTTCAGCAACAATTTGCGATTGGGGTGAACGAAGTGACCAGGGTACTGGAACGCATGTCACCAGCGGAGACGGTGCCCTCTGCTTTTCCTGGTTCGCAGAATCCTAAAGCGCCTTGTGTTCAGCTTCAGGTTTAACTGGCATTGCCATCATACTCTTCTTTTCGGTTTAGTGGAAAAGCAAACCATGCCACAACAACCAAGATGGGCGAGGAATCGAAACCCCGATTGAATTCTGTTCTGGTTGAATCAAGAATTTTAAATCAAACTTAAAACGGGTCCAGTTATTTATTTCGAATCAAACTTGAATCAGGGCGGAGCGCAACTGAATCGAAACTAAAATTCTTGATTCTTAGTTATCGAAGAGATTGGATTTTGGTCAGTCAGGGAATTCTATTGGGGTTGCTTTTGCTTTGGTTAGGACAGGATCAGTATCCACCCCCTTGGTTAGAAGTCGTTAACATACAGTTTCTGCACAGCGATTACCCAACCTGTAATCTGCCTGTTACGAAAAGCTGATGCTCATCGATCTGTCCCTATTATTTTGTTTCAAACGTTGTGGGTTGATTACTGTGGTGAACAGGCTGTGCTGGTGGCTTCAGATTGCAACCCCAAATGGCTAACCAAGCATCTTCCAAGCTTGGCTTTGTCGAGGAAAGTGCCATTGATCTTCATCAAATGTGATAAAAAGGGCGGTGGCTCCTTGAGACTGGGTGAATTGGTTAATCTCAAAACAGCCATTGCGGTTGGAGTCAGAGTATGATCATTTTTGAACTTGCTTGTTTATTCATCCTTTTATTTTCTGCTTAGTACACTTCATCATCTGGATTTTGATGTAGGCTAAGGGGAATGCTGTGAATCAGTGCATGGAGCCAATTCTTCCCAGCAGCCGCAGCAATGGAATCAGCAACAAAGCATAGTCACTGATAATGCACTCTGCATTAATGGACCAATGAAGGCGTGGATTCCTACAAAATCTGGAATCCTTTGGTTTGTTGTAATATTAAAGCTATTGCAAACTTTTTGGTGGGCTTTATATTAAACCTACTACAACAAGTTGCTGCAACTCTGCTCCTCTCTACACCTGAATTGGAAGCTCCTGCAATAGTTGTGGAGCCTGGCCTCAAGCAGTTGATGTATTGGTGGCACCAACTGGATCTTTGCTCGACCATTCTTCACGAGGTTGTTTGTTCCTTCTTTGCCCCATCTTTCTTCACCAGCACTGGCTGCAACTGCAAAGTTTGGATTTCCCTAAACAAAATGCGTATGGAAGTGCGTTAGCAATCAACAAGGAATTAGGCTTTCCTAAACAAGGACCTCTAATTAGGGTTGGATTCTAAACCTGGTATGTAGAATAGGCTTGGGATACAGTGAGTAACCACTGGTTACTGATCTGTAAATAACTCACCCGGAGCCGTTGATCTAGGACGGAGCGATCATGTGGCTGGGATTGATGCGGGGTGATGAGGGGTATTTCTGTCCGCTTTTTGAATTTTTAATTGTTTCCTTTTTTTAATTTGTTCAACATTTATTAGTTTGCTTTGCATGGAGGAGAGAGAGTTAGTGTCTTATCTCTGCAACTCTATTTTCCTCTTTTTTTGTTCCTTTCTCTCTCTCATTCTCCTTATTCTCTAGATCTAATCTCTTATTCTGTTCTTCATTTTTCTCTCTAGCAATCTCCTCTTTCTTTGTTCCTTTTTCTCTGCCAATCTCTTTCTTCTCTAGATCTAATCTCTTTGCAGCTGCTTCTTCCTTATGTTCTTTCTTTTCTCGGCCTCAAAATAGATGACGTTCCATATTGACAAAGAGGGGACGTATCTATGTGAGTTAAGTTTGCATGTTTTATATTTTAGTATTTGTTTGTGAATTTTCAATTCTGATCTTCCTCCTCTTTTTTGTTGTTGCATTTGGTGTTCTTGATTGCAGAGGAGAAATGAGAGGAGACAGAAGACGAGTTTTTTTTGTCTCTCCCTCCTTCTGTTTTCTTCCTTGTAGGTAATATGTATTGGTATTACCACACTATACCATATGGTAATGTGTGATAACTAAATGTATCTTTATGGTCACGAGTTTTATCATGGTGGTAGTGGGTGGTAATCGACTCCAGTTCTGAGAAAAAGAGTTAGAAGACAATGAAGCTGGAGAAGAAAGTGAAGAGAGTCGTAATTGTATATATATATATACCGAGATTACCACACTATACCATATGGTAATGTGTATATACCATATGGTAATTTGTATATACAATATGGTAATTGTGTATATACAATATGGTAATTTGTATATACAATATGGTTATGTGTATATACCACACTATACCATATGGTAATTTGTATATACCATATGGTAATGTGTATATACCATATGGTAATTGTGTATATACAATATGGTAATTTGTATATACAATATGGTTATGTGTATATACCACACTATACCATATGGTAATTTGTATATACCATATGGTAATGTGTATATACCATATGGTAATGTGTCTATACCATATGGTAAAGTGTGGTAACGAAATGTATTTTTATGGATATCGTGTTTTACTATGGTCGTAAAGGATTGTAATTAGATTTATATTATTTTTGTATGGTTTTACCTTCTCATACCATGTGGTATTGTATGGTAATTACAATTAATTTGTGTTCATTCGATTAACCATGTTCTACTATGGTGGTATTGTATGGTAGTTAGATTTACCATATGTTGATATTACCACACTATACCATATGGTATTGGGTGGTAACGAAATATATATTGATATTATCACACTATACCATATGGTATTGGGTGGTAACGAAATATATATTGATATTACCACACTATACCATATGGTATTGGGTGGTAACGTAATATATATTGATGTGCCAAATTTTTTCATACCATATGGTATGGTCAATACCAGTCATTACCATATGGTAATGACTGGTAATAACTGACAAATTTTTTTATGTCTGAAAAATATAAAAGTGGATATCATTTTGAAGAGCACAATTAATCTGATCTAACTGTGCAAAAAAAATTAAATTCCGACTTAAAACGAGTGAGAAATCGTCCGTTAAAGATTAAGAGAAGGAAAATTAAAGGTTGTTTGAGGAGAGAGAAGGCGCTGATGTGATCTGGTCAGCGTCAGCGCGTCAGAGACATCATTAAATAGGGGTGCAATTTTACCTTAGTGCCCCTCCGTATTTTTTTTAAATAAAAAGAAAAAGCTGACACGTGAGGGCCAGGGGAAGGGGTTACTGATGGTTACTGATGGGATGGTTACTGAGGTGATCCGGACCCTGTAGAATATATGTCGATGCTTCTAACCCGAGCCATCTTATCCAAGAAGAGGTTGTACTTGGTAACCTTCAAGTTTATACTCGATCAATGGATCCCTACTGCTTGCTGGACATACTTTATTGCGTGCAGGTGATCCTTCCACAATCTATCGATAGGTTTCAGAATCAAGAATCTTTCAGCTTCCTTCATCAGTCCTGGTGCTTGTTCCTCCACGGTAATCAGGAAAACCGAGCTTTTGTATAAAAAGTGAACCCTGCACTGCATGAACTTATCCACTTTCACAGCAAAGGCAAAATTACCCACCCCAACCTATAACATTTTTCTTTTCAGTATGTACGCCTGCGACATTGCAGCCTCAGACAGTCTCTTTTCATTAAGAGACTGTCATTTAATTTTTTTTTTGTCAAGCAATCTTTTTTTTTTTTATAAGAAACCTGAATATTATTAATTACCTGGCAAAGTGCCGTTACAGTTAGGGGCGGGCATTGGTTTGACCAAACCACTCCAAACCGCTCCAAACCGCTCCAACGGTCAATCCAAACCGTACCATTAACTATCGGTTTCGTTTGCGGACTAACCATTTAGTTGTTAGTGGTTCGCGGTTTGGATTGACCGAAACCACACGGTTACGGTTCAAAACCGCAAACCGCTAATTCTTACTGAAGGTCGCCCACCACGACGCACGAGTAGCTTTGCAGAGATTCTTCTTCCTCACCGGTGGCGATTCTTCTTCCACATCCAGTCCCCGCCAGATCCGCACCATTCCCTCGCTACCCGGCGGCGATTCTTCTTCCTCATACTAACAATTCTTCTGTTCCTCTCGACATTGCACAACACCAAGAGACGAGAGATCCCGAGCTTCATAGATCGACGCCGACGACGCTTCCCCTGACCTAAAATTCAGATTCGCACCTCCGCCGGCCTCCGCATCCCAGCTCACACCGTCGTTCGGGTACTCTCTCCCTCCCTCTTCATATCCTTGATCGATTTCTTTTGGATTCAATCTCGAATCAACCGCATGTCTTCCCGTCGGACCTCCGCCAAGGCGGCGACCGACCTACTTATCCCTTTGCCCTCCGTGGGTTTTCTAGTAGGAATAGAGTTACATATTGGGTATGCTTGGTGGGTTGATTAGATTCGTTAGGTATGGATCTAGGGTTGTTGTTACCGTACCCGAAATCGGAAGAGGTCTGCAATTAGGTTGGTTATAGGGATTCAAATCTTTCAGTTGATGCATCACTTCGAAAAATGATCGAGTAGTTTGAATATGTTTTTGTTTTGTTTTATTTTCTTTCGTTTTCCCGTTTCTTTGTTTGTGTTTCTAGTTTCTAGCTGGTTCCTCAGTGCAGTGCAGTGCAGGTTTATCTAATTAATTAACTGATGTTTCTTTGTCCATATCTTTATTACCACTAAGTATTAAGTAAACCCAATTTCTGGACTGTATCAACAAATTTCCTGGGGAAGAACAATATATATGTTTAGGAGGGAGAAATCATTAAATTCCTTAACACACCAAATGGGAAGCCTGGCAGGGGAATGACAGAAGAGCCATTTTTTTTTGCGTGAAGCAGGAGGCCGAAGCCAAGAAAATTACAAGAGGAATTAGGAAGATGGGGTAAGAGAGCTGGAGACAACCCTCCGCTCGAAACGAATACCCGTCATATCATCACGCAGAATCGAGGTTAAGCCTGTTGGCGGGTCCGCAAGTTCATACATTCCAAAGGGATAGACGAGACTATGCTTCGAGAGCCAGTCCGCGGCTCTATTCCCTTCTCTGTACGTATGAGTGATGCGAACCAGCCAATCTCGACTTACCTGGCGACGAATCGCTGCAAGCAAAGTTGCATAAGGATGCACTGGATCTTGTCTGTCTTCTACGAGTTGAATCACCAGCTGAGAGTCAGATTGAACGAAGATGGCACGATGACCCTCCTTCCAAGAAAGCTCGAGTCCATAGAACAATGCCCAAATTTTCGCTAGGGAAGCTGACGCAGATCCAATGTTTGCCACGAAACCGGCTCTCCACCTCCCTGTAGAATCTCGTATCAGCCCTCCTCCACCTGCCGGGCCGGGATTTCCACATGACGCCCCATCAACATTCAAAGTCATCCAACCCTCCGGTGGGAATGTCCATCCTATGATGGTCGTGATGCGGGTCCCTTGCCGCCGTTGATTTTCCAGTTCCGAGTCTGGCGCTGTCCACGCTGCATACCACACTTTGTCCTTGACTATGATCGAATGAGTCAGGGATGGGGGAGAAAGAGCTGCTGCTGCCCCTTTGAATGCCGTGGTGCACCTGTTCTTCCAAAGGAGCCAAGCTGAAGTGGCAAAGAACCCCGCCCACGACATCCCGATCGCGCTGCTCTCGGTGTTTGTCAAATTTTCTCGAAGCCAATCGGCTTGGTGAAGGCTGAAAAATCTCCCCTGCTTGCTAGCTTCGACCTGTCATGACCAAAAGAAAGTAGCAATGGTGCAGTCTCTTAAAACATGAATGATTGTCTCTGGAACTTCTTGACAGCGGGCGCAACAAGGGTCTGAGGTGATTTTCCAGGAAAATCTGAGTGAGTTGGTCGCGATTCTCTCCAAAAGAACAGTCCACATGAAAAATCTTATCCTTTCGAGAACCGGCAAGCTCCATATCATTTTCTAGTATCTCTCGTCTAGATCCGGAGGTGAGGTATTGAGAAGCTTGAATGTTGATTTTGCCGTAAATTTGCCACTCGAGGATTATGTCCAGAAAAGCCTATCCTCTTCCATATATAGGTTGTCCACTGCCACACTCATCATCTTTTGTTGGACCTCAAAAGGGAGAATGTTAGTGATGAGCTCCAATTTCCATTGTCCTTCTTCGTTCACATAGTCCGCCATTGTCGCATTCTGATCGTCCTCAGGTATCGGGCTGACTGCTACCTCCTTGAGCGGTACCTGCAAGAGCCAGTTATCCAGCCAAAACTTAGTATGCCGCCCATTCTTAATGTTCCAAGCACAACCTTTACGAAGAATGGGAAAAGCTTTCGAGAAGCTGTTCCAGGTGAAGGAACTTCCCTGAATTGGTTTCAGCAAGTCTAAGTCTCTCCTCTGTTGCCCGTACTTTGCTTGCATCACCTGGGTCCACAAAGTATCCTTCTCAGTAAGCATGCGCCATCCTCTTTTGGCAAGCATCGCCAGATTTGCCTGCCTAATGGGTCTAATCCCTGCTCCCCCTTGAGATTTCGGCATAGTCATCCTATCCCATCCCACCAGGTGCCTCCTGGATTTGTCTGCTTCTTCGCCCCAAATGAAGTCCCGATTGATCTTATCTAAACTCCTGCACACTGAGATAGGGATCAGTTCGGTATTCATATGATAAGTAGGAAGAGCCGAAGATACCGAATTAGCCACTGTGAAACGGGCTGCCAGAGTCAGGCGCCTTGTTTTCCATGGCGCCAACTTCTTCTGCACTTACAGAACCAGTCCATGATATCTGCCCCTTGTTATACGGCCGTGAATAGCCTCAATACCCAGGTACTTCCCTAGGTCTACCTTAAGAGGAATCCCGGCTCTTCTACTCAAGTCTGCTGCCTTGGCTCGTCGGATGTTGGGGGAAACACACATCAGCGACTTGTTGAAGTTAATTCGTTGCCCAGAGCTAAAACAAAAGTCGTCGAGGCAAGCTCTAATGCTCCTGATCTGTCCCGGCTCAGCCTCAGCGAACAACAAGAGCTCATTTGCAAAAAAGAGGTGCGTTAGAGGGGGAGCGTTCCTAGAAAGCCTGTAAGGTTTCCATTTCTTATCCTGAACTGCTAAATCAATCAAGTGAGATAGTCTTTCCATGCATAAGACAAAAAGATAAGGTGAAAGGGGGTCTCCCTGACGAACTCCTCGAGACGGAGTTATCGGTTCCGAAAGTGTTCCATTCCACATGATGCGCATCTTGTTTTGCTCGACACAATACATGATGCACTTAATCCACGAGCTGGGGAGGCCGATCTCTTTTAATGTATCCCGGAGAAAATCCCATCTGAGCATGTCGTACGCTTTCTCTAGGTCAATCTTGACGATCAACCCTCCCTTCTTACCCTTCTTCTTCCTTAAAGAGTGAAGAATCTCCTGCACTGTGATAATATTATCAGTTGTCTGACGCCCAGGAATGAAACTGCTCTGTCTGGATGATATCAGCTTCCGCATCACTGGTTTAAGACGGGAAGATAGGGCCTTGGTGATGGCCTTGAGGCTCACGTTATTGAGGGATATCGGTCGTAGCTGAGTAACACTTTCCGGGTTCTCCACTTTAGGAATCAAGACCATCGTCGAGTCAGAGACAGACTCCGGGAGGACTCCTGTAGAGAGGAAGGACAACGCCATATCAGTCAAGCTCTTACCCACCACCTGCCATAACTTCTGATAGAAGGCTGCCTGATAGCCATCCGGTCTCGGTGCTTGGAGAGGCTTCATCTCAAAGATGGCAATCTGAATATCCGTGGCAGTGAACGGCCGCAATAGAGACATTAACTCGGCTTGGTCCAACCGAGGAAATGCATGCTTGGGAAGCCTATCCTCGTAGATAGAGTCATCCTGCTCATACAAGGAGGCGAAGAAGTGGAAAACCATCCCCGCCAATTCCTGCGGATCTTCCACCCACTCCCCATTGCTCGACTTGAGCGCTCGAATTCTGTTTCAACGCCTTCTAATATTTTCTTGTTGGTGAAAGTAAGCCGTATTCCTTTCTCCATATTTGACCCATCTTTCTCTAGCTCTCTGGTACCACAATAACTCCTCTTGTTCTAGTATTTTATCAAGCTCCGCTTCCACCTTTAATCCTTCCCACCAAACGACATTTCTTCTGGTGAATGTTGCCGAAAATGATCGAGTTCCATATCTTAAGTTTCCCTGTCTGCTTTTGAAGCGCGTTGGGAAGGTTCCCATTATTCTCCCACTCACCTGCCACAAAATCCATAAAGTTAGCGTGCGTAAACCATGTTGCCTCGAATTTAAAGGACTGAGCTGAAAAACTAGGCTACCCCTGCATAGCTACCGTAGTTAGTATAGGGTTGTGATCGGAATGAAGACGAGGCAGGTGAAGGACAGAAGTATTGGGAAAGGTAGTGTTCCACTGAGGGTTACAGAAGCTCCTGTCTATCCGACTCGCCTTATAGCTATTGGCTTGGTCACCCCGAGACCAAGTAAAGCGCGGCCCTGAGTACCCGAGATCAATGAGCTCGGCTTGATTTACACGATCATTAAAGCGCCTGCACCTGCGAATGGAATCCATCGAAGCTAGTCCTGATTTCTCCTCTGGCGATCTTATGGCAATAAAATCACTGGTCAGAATCCACGAAGCCCTGAACAAAGTACTTTGATGAATCTGAGCTTCCGACAGGAATCGTTGCTGGCTTTGCCGAGGGGAGGAATAAACAGCTGTGAGAATCCACTGGAGGTGACCCGGCTGCGATATGCTTAAGGATAAGTGCTGATTGGATGCAGAGCAACCTGAGTATTGAAACAATTATTGTCCCAAAACACCCAGATACCACCTCTTTTTCCCTCAGCTTCCACCCTTATCACGTTCGGATATCCCAGCTTATCGCACACCGAGTTGGCCGAGTTGCCACTGATTTGAGGTTCCAAAATAATCACAAAATCAGGTCTATGCTCACGGATCGTGAGCTTCAGAGAGCGGGCGAAGGCTTTGCTGCCAGCTCCTCCTACATTCCAAGAAAGAATTTTAATAACATTTGAATTGGAAGCAGACATTAAAAACAAAAGGTTGGGGAAAGTGTGGTGGGAAGTGGAACGAGATCACCAAATCAAATGTGAGTGGGTTGTTCTGCCGAGGGGGCTCCAAGCAAGGGATCGGCCACCTCTTCCATTGGCAGCACACCATCCTTGCTCCGGACCTGATTCTTCTCCTTCGTGTTCGACGCAACCTCCGTCCAAGCGCTAATCTCTTGTAAAGTAAGCGTCGCTAGTCCCGCTTTGGCTTTGGCTTTACGATCCTTAACTGGAGTCCAAATCTTGAGGGACTTGGCCGGATTGACTTTAAGAGGCGAGGATCTCTTATGGGCGTTCTTGGAAATCTTATTCTGTTTGCTTTTGGTCGCCAACCCCGCCGTCGGCTCCTTGTGAGATGTCGTCTTTGAAACCGCCGGAGAAGGAAGTAAGAGTATCTGCATATTCGTTCCATTTGTGCCTGTAACGGACTGGGTTGGGATCATCGAAGTTGGCCCTGAGTTTCCGTCGCTTAAGTGTTTCGGCCCACTAGGCTCTGGCCCAACAGAATTTGTTATCCCCGGACTATCCAAAGCTTTGACTAAAGCCGTGGAGGAGGAGGCTTCCCCCGTGGGCCTTGGGCCCAAAGAGAGACCCACCGACTTACTTGGTCGTGGCCCTAGAAGGCCTTTGGCCGTCTCCTGGATGTCAACATTCATTTTTCCTTTTCCTTTCCTAGAATCCTCCCCTCCTTTCTTTGCATTATTGGAGCCTTTCCTTTCTTGCGTAGGAGACCGTTGGTTATGAATTACTTCTTCGCTTTCCTTTTGTTTCGAACCACCCTTACCATTCTTGGCCCACGAACCTTGCGGATTCATTCCAAAGTCAGTATCCCCTTTCCCTTTCTTCTGAGTCTCCCGTGAATTCCGCCTACTCTTTTTGGTAACTAGCATCCAGGGTCCGAACCCAGCCTGAGGCTCTTGCGCCGTCGCCGCCGACCGTGTCGTCTGTAAAGGATCGCCGACCACCAGAGCACGTTCATCTCCCGTCGGTCTGGGGCGAAGTGGACACTGAGTTCCAGTGTGACCAATCTTTCCGCATTCGAAGCAAACCAAGGGGAGGTTCTCGTATTCCACTTTCTGCCATTGATCATCCAAAAAAATTCTTGGTACCAGCGGCTTTGACATGTCGACCTCCACTGCTATCCTGGCAAATTTGGCTCTTTGTTGATTGAGGGTATGGTAGTAGAGCTTGATAGTGCGCCCAATCAGGTTCCCCAAAGTAATCAGGATTTCTTTATGATAAAGATGAATCTTCAGTGCCGGCAGCTGAACCCAAACAATCATCTTCTGTGGAAGCGGGTCGGAGGCTTTAAACTGCGGAGTCCATTGTTGCACCAGAAGGTAGTGATCAAAAATTATCCAGGGACCATCAGCGAGGGCTTTAAAATAGTCCTGTTCATTATCCAATTTGACCAAGAAGCAGTCGTGATCCAAATCCCTCACCTCCATAGCTCCCATTGGACGCCATAGGTAACGCAGCCGAGAGCACAGAGCATTGAAGCCAACTTTGCACCCTAGCAGGCGAACCACCAGGGTCCTCTACCATTGTGCGCAGAGGCGGTCTTTGAAGCTTGTGGAAAGAAAAAGTGCCGGCTCGCCAAGGTGTTTCCCCGGGACTAGATCATGCTCCCCCACCGTAACCCACTGGCTGGCTGTGGGTTGTGGTAGTACAAGGTTCCTCGCCCCGGTTACTGCTCCCGCGTAGGTGAACTGACCCGGGCTTTTCGTGGTATCCATCATAGGAGCAGTCGTCGTCCCTGTTATCCTCAGGCGGTCGTCGGGATTCGTTGGGGCCTCCTGTCGTGCCTCAATCTGCATTTGGTCTTGCTGTTGTATCTGTGTCGCCGGGGGTCCACTTTGATCAAGAGGACCCGTGGTCGATTGGTCCGGCAGCCGCCCTGTCGGAGAGGGAGTCGCCAGATGGTACTGCGATGTCAGCGTAGTGGTTGAGAGCATTTTTTCGTGATCTTCTCAGACAGAAGAGCCAATTACTACTGCAAGTCATGAAGTGAAAGGAAAAGGCCTTACTACAACTGGGACTGGGTTTGTAATCGTATTGTATATTTTAGCTTAAGACACCATTTTCATTTCCTCCACCCCCTCTTTCCTTCTCCCCTTGTCAGCCAGTTACCCTTTGTTCAGCCTTCTGCTACTCTATAATAGGTAGAAGAAATCAAAATCACTAAGTAAAAAACATGTGCAGAAAATAATAATTATATCAAATAACATCAATACGATACAACATCTATCTTTAATTCATCTACACCATAGATCGTGTGGAAGCTAAGATGGTAGAGATGGGTTTTGCTTACAGATCATAATATGGTAGAGGAGGGTTAGATGGGATTTGCTTTCAGATCATAATATGTCATTATATGAAATTATGTTTATAGTTTTACCTGTCACAATGTTCTAACTGTCTTCTTTCATATGCTTGTAGGGCTGTAATGAATATGTGAATTCGATATCAAGCAATAGGGAAACAAAAGATACTATTATTGGAAAGATGAAATCTAAAGGCTCACAGGGAAAACGAGCTCGAGCACCGATACCCAACAGCAATGTGCTTAGTGTTAGTGAGGTGAGTTCCTATACTATGGTAGAAGATACTGTTATCGGAATGATGTGGGGGTTCTGGAATGGAATCTCTGTGTGATGTGTAACTACGAGCATGTATGCGTCGATCTGTGGGTGATGAAGGAGTATGGGGTGAAGGAGTCTTGGTCTCGCCTGTTCTCGGTCCAGAAGATTAGGAATACTAGTGCATTTGGGTTCTTGAGGCCTTTGATTTATCACCTCCAATTTAGAGAGGGACTAACAAATGGTCACAAACTAGAATGAGGAAATAGTGAAAGGAAGTAGGGGATATGTATGTACGTACATTGCTATAAAAACCATATATTTATTCATTGCTTATTACCCAGGTTTGTATCCATTTATTTTCATAGCTTTTTTCTTTGATTCACCCAGGCCCTGAATTCATCTCACTCTAAAGGGAGCTGTTTATTTAATGCACATTCTTCCAGATGCATCATATGTATAATGGCAACTCTAGTTATTAGTTCTGCTACCTTGCCGTTTTTTTGTTGTTGTATTGGTATAGTTGAGACACTTGTAGGAATTGGTTCTGCAGCATCGTGTAAAGTTTGATGTTGTGGATACTCTTTTGAAGTCACAGCAGGAGGCTCTTAATAAATTAGTTGTCGCCTATAGAGTTATCATGTACAGACAAACATATATATATATATATAGTTGGCTGCTTATCTCTCTCTTTTTCCCTTATTCTATTTCTGCACAGAAAAACATATATATATATATATATATAATATTATTTGCCATCTTCCTGTTCTCATTTGCTCTGTTGTTGTTTTAGGCTGAGTGTGATGATATTGGAATGGATTCCTCAAGTGGGGAAGAGATGGAAGTCGAAATGGATGCAAGTACGAGCAATGTGGATGCTAGTGATCATACTGGTTCAGCTTCGACTCACATTAATTCACCAATGCCAAAAGGGAGGAGGCTTACATCAAAAGTTTGGGTCCAATTCAGAAGGTATAAGAAGGACGGTTTATTCAAGTCATCATGCATCAAATGCGGGAAGACTTATGCATCTAAATCACGTAACAATGGAACTAGTGCACTCCGCAATCATATGAGTAAACCGTGCAGTGATGGAAAAGGTACTGCTCAACAACTATTGAATACTCTTAGAGCTGAACTAGGTGAGGGGGATGAATCTATGTCAGGCAGTTGGAAGTTTGATCAAGCAGCTATAAGGAAAGGATTGACTTATATGATCGTTGTGGATGAATTGCCTTTCGGATTTGTTGAATACTTGGGTTTCAAATACTTTATGTCACTTGCTTGTCCTAGATTTTCTATACCCTCTAGAAGAACAGTGACTAGGGATTGTTGGGATTTTTATCTTGAGTTGAAACAAAAGTTGAAGGATGTCTTTAGCAACTGTGAAGGTAGAGTTTGTTTGACTACAGATTCATGGACTTCAAACAAACAATTGAACTTCATGTGTGTGACAGCTCATTTTATTGATAGAAATTGGATATTAAGGAAAAGGATAATTGGTTTTCGCCAAATCTTTAGTCATAAGGGGGTGGATATTGCAAGTGCAGTTATGTCTTGTTTGGATGAATGGGGGATAGATAAGATTTTCACAATCACTGTTGACAACGCTAGTTCGAACGATACTACAATAGAAGAATTGAAAAGCATATTTGATGATAGAAAGATTGGCATGTGTGATGGCAAATTTCTTCACGTTAGGTGTGTGGCTCGTATAATGAATCTTATTGTGATGGATGGATTATCTGAGATATATGTGGCTGTAAAAAGAATCAGAGAGGCGGTGAGATTTGTTAGGCATTCACCTGCAAGAATTCAGAAGTTTAATAATTTTGTTGCTCTTGATAATACGAGCAAGAGTGGGTTGTGTCTTGACGTTCCAACGAGATGGAATTCAACCTTTTTGATGTTGCAATCTGCTGTAAAGCATGAGCATGCTTTTAATCTTTATCGAATGTCAGATAAGCAATTTCAAAATGAACTTGAAATGAAGAGTGGAGTACCTGATAGCTGTGATTGGGATAGTGCTAGAAGAATGATGAAGTTCTTAGAACAGTTTTATCAGTTCACCTTAAAAGTTTCAGGTTCACAGTATATCACCTCCAATTTATTCCTTCATGAAGTTGGGAACTTATACAATTTGTTGAGGAATTGGGTAATTCCAGACAAGAAGGATTACCAATTAAGCTTCATGGCAACAAAGATGAAACAAAAGTATGATAAATATTGGGGAGATGTAGATAAGATGAACAAGCTTTTGTACATTGCTGCTGTGTTAGATCCAAGGCTAAAGTTACAGTTTATTGGTTTCACACTCAAGTGGATGTATGATGATGAGAAAGCAATTTCTGATTTGAAAAAAGACGTTGAGCTTGCTACTTATGAGTTATATGCTCATTATGAGAATCAAATGGAAGTAGGTGAAGATTCCTCCTCTCAAACAGAAGTAGCTGATAATGGTGGGAATGTGGATTTAGTTGCCGAGTATATGAAACAAATGCAAAAGGAAAGAGGTGTAGTGAACAATACCGAGTTGGATAGGTATTTGAAGGAGGGTGTTGAAAAATCAACTGATGCCAAGTTTAATGTGTTAGGATGGTGGAAAGTAAACAGCCATAGGTTTCCAACTTTGTCTCGGATGGCAAGGGATGTATTGGCTGTCCCGGTTTCTACGGTTTCATCTGAAGCAGCTTTTAGCACTGGAGGTAGGGTGCTGAATGATTTCAGGAGCTCTTTGACTCCTAGGATTGTTGAGGGTCTTATTTGTACTCAGGATTGGCTCCGGGCAGAATCTATTGTGTGTCTAGTTGAAGAAGATTTAGAGGAGATTGACAATATCGATGAAGGTGAGTAACCTAAAAAAAGATACTGTTTATGTACCATGTACGTTTTATGTAGTGATTAAACTGTCTTCTTATGAATTTCAGAGTTGAGCATGATTATGAAGGCCAGTGCAGTCAAAATCGCTCATTAAAACGTAAAAACTTACGTTTTTACGTATCGAGGCCACCAAAACGTTTCAGTTTTCTACCCAAAGTCGCTTAGTCACAAAAACTGATAAAAACATGGGTAAAATCGGTAAAATTGCTTAAAATCGATAAAATCGCGATTCTGAAGCGTTTTTATACGATTTTGATCATCTCATAAATATGTGCTAATTGGCCCAAAATGATGTAATTTTGGAGACATATAAGCAAAGAATAATAAAAAAAAAGGAAAACATGATTCATCACTCGTTCTACAACTAGTGTCGGGATAGGGGCTTCACATGAGGTTGAAAAGACACCTAATGATATTCTCAACAGTCGCTGACCTTCTATCAGTCTTCTCCCTTAATCTTCACCTGAGGCTCTTACCTGGGTTACGATAAAAGTTTATGGGTAATTGATCGTATGTAATTATGTAAACTCAAACCAGTTTATGAGAATTTGGATTCTCAAGCTCGTTTACGGTTTACGATCTACGTTTATGAGCTTATTATTAAGATGTTATGAGTTTTCTTGCTTTTGAGTCAACAGAAATTAGTTTATATGTTAGATATTACATTTTAATTATGAATTTCATGTAGTTATTCACTTATCTAAATTCTACACACTCACATTTTACATACTATATGTTGTACTTAACATATTTTAGCTATTTTAGAGGATGCGTCAAAAACTTACGCTTTTACGCTTTGATTCTACGTTTTACGATTTTACCCATTTCCCGCTTCTAGGTAAAATCGCGCTTTTACCTGCATTGATGAAGGCTATTGGTATATCTGATGTTCCACTTCCCCGTATCCATACTCCTCGTATGAGTCCTAATGTAGAGGCAAGCGCAAACATATAAGGCAACATTTGAACCTGATCATTAGTGCAATTTCTGAGCTGCCTTGTTTATTTGGGCTACTTAGTGAACTTGTATTTACCTAATTTTCCAAAATGACATGTTAAGCTACTGAAACCCAGCTCACACTGGTTTCCCAGCTCTCTTTCCTGTTAGTTTTACCTACTTAAATCCATGGAAGGAGTAGTTGCTTTTGCATGGTTACATGGAAGGGAATTGTTGTTTACCTACTTAAAACTTTCCTTCTTCTTTCTCTCTTCCACAGTAGCTGTATTCATATCCTTGTTTGGCAGGCAGCCAGCCTGACCATGGTGGTGGCCTGAGGCTCTCTGCAGCTTTGCCACTTGTCCTCCTTCCTTCATTCTGTCCCTTTCTTCCCCAATGAATGAATCAATACAACATATATGGGTGCTTGTTTTGGGCAATTCCCATTAATAGAAAGGGAAGGAAACCACGGGGGAGAAGGAAAGGACACTCTGGTGGTGGTTGACAGGATATCATAAATGAAATGGGATTGATGATTATGGCTTGTTGTTGCTGGTGTGCTGTTACTGTGTAACTACTGCCTGTTAATTCATTATTTCTTGAGGGAAAGTTTGATGGGCAGACCGTTTTGGGGAAGAGCAAAAGGACCATACTGAATTCCATTGTTGTCACCCACGATAGACCACCTGCCAGCAACACAAGAAAACAAGTCTCAGCCTTCCTCTCTTTCTTACCCAACTTGCTATTTTTGGATAGGCAAGCAAAAAGAAAAAGGAAGCAACAGAAGAAAAGAAGAGGTAGCAGCATACTATTGGTTGGTTAGCTTAGAAAATAGTATTGGTTTGTTAGCTTAGAAAATAGTATTTCAGCCGATCATGCATCTTATTAGTTCCGAGACTATAGGCGAGAATTGTTGTTGGAATGGCAGCAGTAGTCAAGTTTAGGCTGCTGAGTCTCTTTTGGTTATCTTACTAGCATTGGGTTCATGTAATATGGATGGTTTTATTCTGTTGCAGCTGGAAGAGTTCCGCAAGAAGAAAGCAGCAGATCGAGCCAAGAAAGCTATTGTTTATCTTTATGGGAAATCTATTCTTACAGGTTGGTGGAAACTACAAGGAAGCCATCAAAGCCGAAGTATTTGTTTGGATCTTTTGCTGAACTTGACCATGAGAATGTGGAGACTACAATTCAGAATGGATGCTGAAGTTTTTTGGTGTGCTTTGTAGAAGATTTTAGTTAGCCTATTTGTGGAGATGCAAGGCATGGGGAAATCGGGCCTTCCCTTGTCTTGGTGTTCTTGTGGGTAGTTTCTAGTTGGAACTTTCAATGGCATAGACAAGTATCTGCTTTGTTTGCATCACCTTAACTTAGTTTTCATTAATCTTTGTAAAGAAGAACTTTGTTGAGCATATGCTCTGTTTTGGTGGCAGGAAACAGAGCAATGTGGAGAGGAACCCTGTTTTTTTTTCTATTATTTCAAAACTACAACAGATAACTAAATATGGAGCATATGCTCTATTTTGAACTTTTGGTGGCAGGAAACGGAGCAATGTGTAGGGGAACCCTTGCCATTTTTTTTGCTGTTATTTCCAAGCTTCCTTCTTTTCTTGTCATTTGCGGTCAAAATGCGGTGCGGTCTAAACCATACCAAACCGTTAATTTATGCGGTTTGGTTTGACCGCACCGATAACTTCTCGGTCAAAGATGCGGTGCGGTTTACATAAATGCGGTTCGGTGCGGTTTATAAAAATGCGGTGCGGTCCGGTCCGAACCGTACCGATGCCCACCGCTAGTTACAGTCCCTCTCTAAAGTGTTGAGAATGAAAATTGGGGGTCTCCCCATCCACAGTTCAGTCTCTTCCCACCTGCAATTTGCCCTTGCCATTTCGTGAGCAGCATCATTACCTCCTCTACCCCAGAAACGCCATTGAACATCTCCTCTTCCCAAGCACCTTTATTTGATCTCCTTTACTATAACCACCAGCTCAGTCTCGATATTCCCTTGTCGATCTAGCTTCTGAATCAGGGTTTGGCAGTCCGACTCGATTAGGGTTGGTCGATAAGCGTGAATCTACAGTAGATCGAGAGCCCAGAGAACTGCCTGAGCTTCCGCCATCTCCGGGTCCCAGTCAACTCGCGTCCTCCGCACCGCCGCTAGAATCAGTCGACCCTCTTCATCTCGCACCACCAATCCCAGTCCCGTTCCTCCCTCCTTCAATTTGGCTGCATCAACATTTGCCTTCAGGAAGTTCCTCTCGGGTTTCTCCCATCTCACCTCTCGACGGGGAGCTCTCGCCGGACCTTCAGAAGCCACACTCGACCGGTATTCGTCCAGGTAAGACTCCGTCCGCCCTAGCCATAATTTGACTTTCCTCTAGCTTAGGATTATTGAATAAGTGATTGTTGCGCTCCTTC